AAATTTTTCATGATTATGATTTCCATGTGAGTTTCATTTGATTTCTAAGTCACTTTCAAAATTAATTCAAAGCATAGTTGTCACTGACTACACTGGTCAAACAAGTGATTTCTGTTACAATTTCTCATTCTATGTTTTGGATGATATGTAACGAAATCGTGTATCTACCCATGAAGCCTTGAAAAAGAAGCCCATTGAAACTTCTTAATAAGTTTTTGATTGTAATTCATGGGAAAACTCACAAGCCGTTGATTATCTCTCTTGATGATTAACGAAGTAACTTTTGCTCAGGGTGTAACTACTTTTGTGTCAAAATGATTTTGACATCACAAATCCAAAGTTTATTTTTGTTTGATTCTTATCTTTTTCTTTGGAACACTGCACTCACGAAATCCTTGAAGTTCTAAGTAATACCAACTCAGGCTGATGATTTCGAATGTCTGGCACATGACTTCACTTTAAATCCCAAAAGTGAAAGAGCCTAACCTCCATCTGAAGGTTGTTGCCGGTTCCTATTCTATTTGGAGAAATAAACAGGCTGTTAGAAGTGACATCTTGTATTCTATCTGGTTTCAAGGAGAAGTGACAGTTAATTTTTCACGCGTGGCTACTTTATCGGCATAGTGGTGCGAGTTTCAAGGTGCCACGTTGGATTTCATTAAATGCATATCCCGCTTCATTCAAACCTCAGGGATACATATAAAAGGGGATTCAAGGGTTCTTGATCTGTTTACACTTTTGAAACAAAAAATCCCAAATTCTCTCTACAATATTGATTTGTTTTTCAGAAAATTCCAAAACCATACTCATGGCTACTCAGGCTAATGTCGATGCACCATCTCAAAGAAAAAAAGATGTAACATCTCAACCGATCATGAATATTCAAGGAACCAACTATCAACACGAAGCAGATGTATCTCTTTATCCCAATGATTTGAAGATGTTGGTGGTTGCTTTAAAGAGTTCTGTTCTTTCCACAACGATGTTTAATTCTTTTGTTGTTCCTCTTTCCTGGCTATCGATAGCAGGATCAACTGCAACTTACACCAAAATTCTAGATGTTATTACCTTTAATCTGCTAAACGACAAGAAGGTTAGATTGACGAAGAAGTTGTTTTGTCAAATTATGGAAATCCCAAACACACCACCATTCACTACTCTTTCATTTGCAGAAGTAAATCATATGTTCATTGAGATGGGTCATCAACGCCCACTCACTAAGATAAGCGATTTTAAGAAGTTCGATCTTCCAACAATCTGGAACTTTCTTTTTGGAATCTTTTTACGATGTTTGACTGGTCGTAGTGTGGGTCTTGACAAAGGGAGAATGAAAGTTTACGCCATGGTTGTAGGAGTTTATTATGATATTCTAGTCGACTACTCTACACAGTTATGGAAAGAGTTTCAGAAGAGTGTCGAAAACACTAATGTCATGCAAGGTATTTCATGTGCACGATATTGGAGTGTTATTTTGAGGTATTTCTATGATAAAGAAGGAATTCAAGTGTCAGATGAAGAGGAAACTGCTGAGTTTATGAAATATCATTTTCCAAAGGAGGTTTCAGATGATGCTGCAATTTACACACATGTTGCACGAATTACTGATGCCATGTTGAAAAGATTTGATCCGATAAATGTTGTGCTTATTGAATATATGACAGCTATTGATCCCAAAATTGAAACTGGGAAGTTGTTAATCGAAGAAGATGCAGGTCCTTCGAAGAAATCCAGGACAATAAAGAAGACTCTGATCATAACTCCTGAGCCAAATGTTCGAGAAACGAAGAAATTGAAGTCTCCCAAGAAAACAACAAAGCAAGATGAGCAAGTTTCGACAGTTTTGATCAAGCCTATTGAGTCCATTGCACCTGTTATTTTCAAACCAATTTCATTTAAAATTCCTTCAAAGACTGGAGTTTTTTGCAGACTAAAGCTGAAGTATGGCGGTTCTCCGACTTTGAGTGTGGTTCGCAAGCCTTACATTACTCATCAAGGGGTAATTATGCGCGAAGTCCCAACTCCTGTTTCTCCTCTATCAAAGAAACGAAGAGCTGAAGATATGGAAAAGAGAATTTCAAAGAAAAAGAAGAAGACAAAGAAGAGGCAGCTTATTATTCCAATGCAATCTTCCAAAGAAGAAGATGTGCCTCAAGCACCCGAACCTATTCCTATTATTGATCCTACATCTCCTGAGAAGACAGTTGTCATACCACCCGAGGTTTCGTCTGCCAAATCATTTCATGAGGAGGTACGAACCTCAGACATCACTACAAACATATCTAATAAAGATGTAAATGTCACCATAGATGAAGGAGATCTATCTAAGAAAACTATATAAGCTTAACAAGGTACTCCAGTTGCAATTTCTGTCGAACCTATTACCAGTACTTTTGTTTCTTTACCTCCATATATCATCCCTACCACTTCCACCACTGAATCCCCAACCTTTGAAAACATCATCAATCAACCCTTTACATCAATTTTTTGATCACAATCCAACGATCCACCAAAAGCAATGGATGAGTCTGAAAACGAAGAAGGTGGTTTTGGAGGCACTTTTGAAGACATGACCTTGGATGATGATGAAGAAGATTTCATTGACCATACGTTGTTGGCAACGAAATAGTTTAAAATTCTAAATAAGAAGTTCAATTCCATTATTCAGACTCAAGCAGATATGGTAGGAGGAAGTTCAGTTTCTAGTTTTGAAATTGATGGCCTGATGAAGGCTTTCGAATCACGAATGGTGAGCAAAGTGTCCGGTCTGATTAAAGACACTGAGTCCAGAATATTGGAGAAGGTTGATCAAACTGATCACACCACTGAGCTAAGCGTAAATTCTTTTAATTCAAAGTATGTGGGAGCTACCAAGGAGTTAACAAATGTCCAAAAAGATAGACATACATTGTTCGTTATGGATGTCAAGAAGGTTAGAGATGATGTCAACTTAAATCTTCAAGAGCTTTGTGATGATATGGTGAAAGAAGTTGTTGCTGTTCAGCATGATTATGCAACTCTACATAAAAAGTTTAATATCATTTGTGACGATGTAAGGAAATATGTTAAGTTCTACGAAAGATTGAGTCCTTAAATTACTCAACTATCTACAATTGACAATCAACAGTTTAGGGAGATTATTTCGGTGCTAAAGGATCTAAAAGAATCAATGCTCAAGCCTGTTCCATCTTCGATAATTACTCCAAAGTTCCTTTCTCAAAAAATTTCACAATTCGAAGCAATTCTTCACAAGCAATTGGCTCTGTTATCTACCATTTCGAATCTTTTGCCAACTGGTGCCCCACCCGTTCGAACAGGGGTGCAGGGGGGGGGGAGAAGAATGTTAGAGAAGCTTCTCATGCGAAGGCTGGAGGTGAAGCTTCACATGGAGAGGTTAACATTGTTGGAAAAAAATTTCCTTCAAAACTTCCATCATCTAAGACAAAAAATTTGAGTGTTAGGTCAGTTACTTCAACAATTGTGACATCAATGCCAATCATGAAGTCAATCTCGAAGGGGGTTGTAATTGGTTCATCTACTGATCAAGGTGATGCTTCTAAAATGAAAGATGTTACAGAAAAATCAAAAGACAAAGGCAAGCTGATTGTTGTTGAAAAATCAAAGGAGGAGAAGAAAGCAGAAGCCGAAGCTAAGATTGAAAAGTAAATAGTAGTACAAAGCATAATGAGGCAAAGGGCGAGTGATCCTCTTGTTTGAACAAAGGAGATCCTGCCAAAAATTACAACTACCAGATGATTGAAGCGAAGGTGGCATTCAATCACATGTATGCATTCGAGAAGAAACCAAAACTGAGTTATGTGGTTTCAAATGCAGACATGAGCCAGCTTGATTTCCTAACTAATGAGATGATGTTCCTAATTCCCCAGTTTAAAGTTTTGGATAAATTCAAGAGCGACGATGACTATAATTACATTAAGCTTCGTTTTCATGTTGTTCTTACAAAAGCTCCAAAAGAAATTTGGTCATTGATCAAAATCAAGAAAGTGATTAGCATCAAAATGGACGTTTTATTCGAAGATATGATGCAAAATGTGAGATTTTTTGTTGCAAGGGCGAATGGTCAGAATTGTGATTTTACAGTTGCGGATTTTCCTCTCGTGAACTTGTATGACCTTATACATGTTGTTCTACTCTTAGAAGACAAAAATTCTTCATACCTTCGAGAAACTGATCCTAAAGTTTTTCGACTGGGAGTTGGAGACATCAAGATCTTCTTGGAGAATTATTATGAGTGTTTGGCACTTACAGATGTGGAACTAGCAACGGTGAAAGGGTTAGAAGTTAAAGTTCCAATGGAACTGACAAAGTCTTAACAAGATTTTAAAAAGTATGCTGATGGGGAAATTTGTTTAAAACCATTCGGACTGGTTTTTGCTGGAAAAGATAAAGCTGGAAAGATCAGGAGATTTTTGTTCCAAGATTGTGAAATCGAAAGTATACAATGTCCCAATATACGAACTTCATTCTTTGTATGAATAATTGTAAGAAAAATAATGAAGGGGATAAGAAGGAGCTTAAGAAGATTATATCTTGGTACACGAAAATTCTAAGGGTAATGATGTATGCCATCCAGATTCTCACAACCTGAGAGAACTCGACTTCATTCCAAAGGGGGAGATTGTAAGGGTCGAAGACATTTTGTAATGAGTTGAAGCCTATACCCTTCATGTACTTTGTAATGTATTTACTAAGGCATCTAAATGTTTGAAGCTTAAATGTCAATGTCTTTGTATTTTTTGTATACTTTCATGTTTCCTATAAATAGGGACTTTACTTAGAGTTAGATAAGAGTCTTTTATAAAACTTGTCTTTTTACTCTCTGTAAACCTTTGGAAGTTTAATAGAGCTGAAACAAGATCATATTTACATCTCGTGTTCATTTCATATCGTTTTTACTCTGATTTGATTCTCTTTACTCGATTATCACTTCTTCAATCTTCAGCTCTATCGTGAAGAATAAATTTCGCAAATCTAACATTAGCCTATGTCGGACAGAAGCTAGCACAAAGGGCACTCTCCACATTGGCGATCCAACACATATTGATGATCGACTCCTTACTCGGAAAGAAACGAAGAGGTACACAAGCATCAAACTCCTTGAAATTGACTCTACGACCACATGGCCAACCACCCTCTAACTCAGCCTGTAAAATCCTAAGGTGCTCATCCATCACTACAACCAACTCCTTAATAATAGTGTTGATCAATCCAGGTAAATCCTCTTTCATGAACCTAAAAATCTTTGTAGCTATTATGTCACAAACATCCTCCTCACCCATATATGAATCACCAACACAGAAGATCGCCATCCTGAATATGAAAGATAACAGAAACGCCTCAAAATAAATGTTCATAGCAACTCCCACTATGCATACCCACCTACAAGTTCGTCGACAATCCCGAAACCCTCCGTGTCCCAAGTATGGATCATGTGCTTTCAGTAGTACAGACCCAATACTACATTCCATAGTTATCCATAGCCGTTCCAAGGGCTATTCCAAGTTAATTCGCCTCACTTTACAAAACTCCTCACGCGTATGTATATGTCTATCCATATGTAAAATACTGCAATTCCTAGACCCTCTCTCAAGGATCCTACTCTTACTCACTTTCGCACTACTCAAGTCTCTATCAACATCGTTAGTTTCCACGTGCATGCAAGCTATATACAATACATAATCAAATAGATTGTCGAATAAGTGATTCTACCCTAATCCCACTACCAAACAAGGAGTAGGGAAAAATGCTAAATCACTCATTCTAAGGCTATATAATCCTAATCTTATACAACTCTAAAATATATACCTAGTCATTAACATTAACAAACAAGACTTCAAGCATCACGTAATAAACAATTCTGTAGGCTATAAGGCATGAGATAAGTCAGGAAGTTCTAGCAAGCAATTTCTGAGCAGATCTACAACCTCCATTCTAGCATGCTAAACAATTTATAGTACCAATTCAAGATCATATGGGTATATTGGGAATTACATACTTCTTGAGTTCCAGCCTACTATACACATCACATCAGAGGTAGGGTCCGTTTGGTATACAAATATACTGTTTGGAAATCCCACTTTAAATACCTCACCTTGTCTTTGTGGGAGAGTTGGTTGCCGACTTGGCCACGTTGCGCATTTCGGTGCTACATCTTTATCACAAGTATTTTATCACAAATCTTCGGACGAACATTCATTTTGTATACGAGCTCTATTTTCCACGGTCTTTGTCTCCGTAGAACCTTCTCGACGAGCTTTACAACTTTCATTAAGGTCTCAACATCTAATTCTCACTCTAACTAAAATTCATATTTAGACCGACTTAGACTTCCAGTAAGGTCTTGACTGTGTTTATATCGATGACTTCATATTTACGAGATCTTCAATTCTTATTTAGATTGTTTTAACTAAAAATCAACCAATTTGAATTTTGATTTCCATGCTTGCACTACTGCACTGAAACTTCGAAAAATCATAACCTTTTCTCACGAAGTCAGACTTGGATGTTCTCTATATGCAAGTTCTTGGTTTTATGACTACTATGATTTTTGTTTAGATTATTTGGGATAATAACAATCTATTAAAAATTCATATTTTACGATACACAAAGTTGTTTCGGTTTAATTGCAAAAATTCGAGGAACGATAACCTCTTTATACGTAGTTGGATTTTACAGTTATATATATATATATATATATATATATATATATATATATATATATATATATATATATATATATGTCGAATCTTTGTCACATATACTATAACCTTGATTTAAATTATTTATTCTAAATAATCTTTAATCAAAAAATTATTTTTGTGACTTATTATATTTTAATCGTCTAGCCCGAATCTAGTAGCATCGCATTGACTCCCTAATACCATTCACATATACATTATGGGAATTGGATGTTACAAAACTAATATTAAACTTATCCAAAGTTGTAAAAAATGTTCGGTGGGACCTTGATGGTCTATTAGGGTTAAATGATTAATCGGTGTAGGCAGAGATTAATCGGGAACCTTAAATTTTTAATAAAACTATTTAGAAACTTAATATATCCTAAAAAAATAAGTATTTGAACATTTAAAATTTTGAAAACCGGAAAATATGAAATAGTTTATATGATATTTAAAAAATTTAAACTTTTTAATTTTTGTAAATTTTGGTGTAATATTTAAAATTTTGAATATTTGAATTTTTTTTTTATTATTTTCTCGCCTATGACCACCAAGGATTGTCAAGACCGACTTTTACCGATATTGACAGTTTTTCACCAGCAACCCCAATCGTAATCAGTTGTAGACCGCTAATCGATTAATCCCCAATTAATCGGCCAGCAAGACCAATTTCTACAACACTAAATTTATCTAAGAAACTAATATTATTTTTCATCAAATATAAAATTCAATAAAATTAATAATATATGAAAATATCACTCCAAAATTCAACATTTTCTTAGTCCACGATAAGCCAAACATATCTTAGTTGCTAATCAAAAATCTCCCACTTCCTACCCGTTATAACCACAAATATTCACTAGAAATCGTACTATTTAGTAGATAACACATATAATTGAAAAAATACAATAAAAAATACAGATATTCATAATTTTTTATCACTGCATTTTATATATAAACTAGTGAAAATGTACTAAATCATAATTAAACATGTAAAAAATTATAACCCCCAGAGATTCGGTCTAGTTAATTTAGAGACAATAACCGACAAAAATGACTTTTTGATGGATGATTATTTTGAATGAATAATCTTAACCAAGTTATAGTATATATCACAAGGATTCTGTACATATAAAGAACGCCGAAATCTGAATTATAACGAAGAAGTTATAACCCGTCGAAGTTTTACGGCGAAACTGGCACGCCACCACGTAACGTAAAAACTGATTTTTTGATAAAATACTTTTTAGCCTTAGAGATCTAAATGAAAGTTGTGGTATATGTTAAACCGAGAGCATGCATAAAAAGAACGCCCAAATCTGACTTCGTATGACGATGATATGATTTTTCTAAGATTTGGCATAACAGTGCACAACCCAGAATTTGAATTTTAGATCGATAGAACTTTTGCCAATGCAACCTAATAAGAATTGAAGATTTCATTCATAAGAGTTCAACGATAAAAAGACAGATGAAAACGGAGTCTGTATGTAGAAGTTATGAATTTTACACGGTCATTTAACAGTATAATCTTTTCATACTTCTAAATTTAAAATCCGTTGAGAATTAACCAATGGATTCAAAAGGAAAGTAGTAGATCTTGTCATTTCCTACGTGTGGATATAAAGAATGTAAAAATCAAATTTCATATGCGAAAATTATAAATATTTAAAGATTGGTTGTTTTACCTGCATCTTGTGTCACGAGTCAGCTCCAGGCTTCTCCTTGGTGCCTACGCAAGGCTCACGATGTGAGTACCATGTCTCATGACATGAGAAGCCCCAGAAAACCTATAAATAGAGGCTTAGAACACAACCAAAACTCACACCTTTCATACTCTTTCTCTCCCATTACCCCAAAACCCTCTCCCTCTTCCCTAGTAAGTTCTAAGTGCTAGAAGCGAGCCTCGGAGCGATAGAAGACTCCAAGAAGAAGAGCTTTTGGCTTAGAAGTTCCACCCCTGCAGATCCCGGTTTCTAGCAAACCTCCCGGTAATTGAGTTATGCTTACGATACTTCAAGTATAACTTATGTTTAAGTTCATTGTCGTTATTATGAACCTATAAACAAGATTTATCAATGATTCCTGGTCATTATACTGATTGATATACTTATAGGGATGATGTTTAGGCAATGATTTAGTGAGGTGTTTAAAGTGGGATTTCCAAATAGTATACTTCGTATACCAAATGGACCCTACCTCCGATATGATCCTACCTGGTTGTTTGATGTGTGTAAAACCAACTAGTTTTAATCCTACTTTTAGTTAATAAATTAAGCACACAAAGGCAGTGAACCTGTCTTTTAGTGGTATAGTTGGATAAGTAGGGTGTCGAACTCAGGGAACGTAAATTAACCTAATAACTAATTCTAACTAAATAAGTAATAAAAGTAAAGGGTTTTTTCTCTAGTTTTACAAGACTAGAAACTTAAACATAGCACTTAAAACAATTAACTAACTAAACAATTAAAGCAAATGACAAATTCACCAAATTTATTAAAGGGTTTCTGTTTAGGTTCAACTAATTCACTCCAATGGTTATTTTAATGATAAATTAATTATTATTGGTTACCAACTATAGTGGCTAGGTTCATGTTCATTACTCCTAACCCTTAGACAATTAATCAATTCAAGCAATGGCCAATTGTTTAAACTAATTAATTCCCCAGTTCAATTATTTGGATTAAATAAGATTTGTAATTGGTTAATCAAGTTGGTGTTTTAATTAACCTCTTTTTTGTTGGTTTCTCAAACAAGCTCACACATTAATTTACCTATTCTCTAATTAATCTTAATTTCATATTCATTACTCTTAAGCATATGATCAAGTGTTCACATAACATATGAGGTTAATAATTAAGAGATGTTCATGTAGCTTAATTACCTTCCAATTAACAGAAATAGTTGTCATTAATGCATAAGGTTCTTTAGCAAACTTAATTTAATAAAATCACCAAATAATAATCAATCAAAAAGTATATTATAAACTATAGGAGTAAATTAGTCTTCCCTAACAGAAACAAAACAAATTTAGTTCATAGTCATGATAAAAACAAACTCATAAGCATATTTAACTAAGCTAAACATACTTAATTCCTAAAGCTAAGTGGAATGATTAACCTAATTGCCTTGATTCTTCCAATGATTGAAGATTAGGGTTCCTTAGCTCGTCCAAGGGTTCTTTTTCGCAGGTTCAGCTCTCAAAATCACCAAAAGTCCCTTCTAATCGGATAATAGTTTGGTATTTATAATTATCAAAAAACCGGGTGTACTCGGCGAGTAGCAGACCCAACTCACCGAGTAGATGCTAGTTATCTGTCTCATACCAGGAGTCTTGACTTATCTTCTTGAATATTCTAATGTACTCGCCGATTAGGCTCGAGAACTCGCCGAGTAGGAAGGCTTTTGTCCCTCATTCTTCATTCTTTGGTCTCTAGTTGCTTCCCCTTGTTCCCTTTTACTCCCAAGCATGTCTTTTGGATTGAAAACAAAATTTAAACATTATTAAGTACCTTTTTTCCACATTACACACATAATTAGTTAAAAATGAATAAAAATGTATGCTAAATAATTAACTAATTATGCACATATCATTGTTCCTTACTTGATAGATCATAGACTTTGAGTTA